GTCGGCCTTGGGCAAGCGCTCTCGAACTGAGCAAGGGGAGATTGTTTCTAAGCGGGGACGCGCGGGCTATTTTCCTTCTGATCCCTTGGCCCCGAAACCCACATCTCTCCTTTCGGCCTCCGTTAACGAGGTGGCCGACCGTCTCGAGGGTGCCCTCCTCGAGGATGATCGGAAGAAGGCCCACCTCACGCTGCCCGAGGTCGGCGACAGACTTGTGCAATGGTTTGCTCAGGTAATACTTCTCTAACTCTATTCTAGCCTTTCTTCTTTTCCTTTGTTGATTTATGCGTTGAATGGCCTTGTCTTTTCTGTTGATAGGGCTTGGTCGATTTTCTGCCGCTGGCCAAGGAAGCTCGAGACAGCTCGGGCGAGTCGATCAAGGCTCTCGAGAACACTGTCGGCTATCTGCAGGACAAAAATTCGACCCTCCTGCAGCATAATGCCAAGCTCCGCGAGACGCAGACGGAACAGAAGACTGAGTTCGACGTCAAGATTAAATCTCTCGACGAAGAACTTAGTAACAAAGGAAAGGCTCTCGCGGAGAGAGATACTATTCTTGCTGCCAAAGAGGCTGCTGTGGCAGAGAAGGAGGCCGCCCTAAAGGAGAAGGAAGCGGTGCTCGAGCAAGAGCGGGTTGCTCGGGCTGAGGCGGAGAAGGCTCGAGCTGATGCCGAGAAGGCTCGAGCAGAGGCGGAGAAGGCTCGGGCTGAAGCCGAGAAGGCTCGGGTTGAGTTGGAGGCAATTTTGGCCAAAAAAAGGGCTGCCCATGCCGACGATAAGCAACGCTATGCAAATGCCACTGCTCTTCGAGCAAGGCAGATGCTTTGGGCGACCACAACGGGGCAGCTCTTCCTCCGCGAGCATCGTGCACAAGTGGTGGCTGACTTCATGCAGTCACCACAATACTTAAAGGAGTTGCAAGATTTCGGGGTAGACTGCTTTCAGTTTGCCCTGCAAAAGGCCGGGGAGCAGATCGCTGAAGATGATTTCGAGCAGCTCGACCCCTTAGCTATCTGGGATGCTTTGCCCAAGGTACCCTCGAGCTTCTCGGGGGACCCTTCCTTGCCGGCGGAGCATGAATGGTGGTCGGGCCAGCTCGAAAGAACCCTAGGCCGATCAGAGACTTTAAAGAAGACCTTCGCTTTACCCGATGATACTACTCCTCCAGCTGCCATGTTGGTCGCACTGGCTGAATCTGTTCGACAACGTCCTCTCAATGAAGCCTGCGATTCGACCCTTGGTACTGGCCCTCAGCTCGACCCTAATGCCAGCTCGAGCAATGCGGACTCCGTCGCCGCTCCTCCGCCCTAAATTAGTGTTGTATTTTCCGTTTTATTTTTCTTGAATCAGACTATGTACCTTAATGGATCTTGTAACGTTCTTAGAATGAAAATGCTTTTGCTTTCAGCTTGTGTTTGTCTTCTTTATCTTCTACAATATTCGCGAGTAATTAGACTTAATGCTTTTGTTGTGACTCTTCGATATGGAGAGCTAAGGCACGCTTTAAAGTAGGATTGATGTAGACTTTAGTATATGATCAACAAGCTTTCACTAGTCAACCTATTCTTCGTTTATCGGATCGATGTTTGTGTGTTTGTCTCATGACCGCTCGAATACTTTACATTTTAACGTATGTATATACACACATGCCCACCCCTGGAGGTGGTCGAAGCGTGCGACCGTCCAGCCTCGAGGCCTTAAACATGACGGGTTTTAGACTCTGGAACACTTGCCCACCCTTGGAGGTGGTCGAAGCACGCGACCGTCCAGCCTCAAGGCCTTAAACATGACGGGTTTTAGAATCTTGAACACATGCCCACCCTTGGAGGTGGTCGAAGCACGCAACCGTCCAGCCTCAAGGCCTTAAACATGACGGGTTTTAGAATCTTGAACACATGCCCACCCTTGGAGATGGTCGAAGCATGCGACCGTCCAGCCTCAAGGCCTTAAACATGACGGGTTTTAGAATCTTGAACACATACCCACCCTTGGAGGTGGTCGAAGCACGCGACCGTCCAGCCTCAAGGCCTTAAACATGACGGGTTTTCTGCACCATTAGGCTTCTGTTCCATATCCTGGCCTCCGAGTTCATTTTCCTATGCCGAAGTTGCGCCCTTCCTGATGCTCGTGCCCTCGT